AGTCGCTACTAACGGGACAAGGTGCTGATCGCTAAGTTAAAAAAAAAAAAAATCACAGTAACGGTGCTAATTGCAAATTATTTTTTATTTTGTTTTTGGTTTTTTTTTGGTTTTTTTAATAATGACCTTTCCTACCTATACCACTAAAAAAAAAAGATTACAAAAGAGAAATGTGCACAGTCTGTACTAACATCATGTGTTCTCTTGTTTGTTGAACAAAACACCCAGTAAAGAAAACTAAAGACCTCTGATGTAAATGTATGTTGTTGACAATATTATATAGATGCTATGATTTGTTCAGGGCTTTAATTGGAGATCAATTTGAAACATTATCTTGAGGAGACAAAACTGTAAAGTCAAAAATAAAGTTTCTAAATAAATGCTCCCTCTGCTTGCTTTCTACAAAACAACTATTTAGTTTTTGCACTCTTTTGGTGGTGGGCTCATCTTTTTTTGTCATTTTGTGTATTTTCGTTTTTTGATCTTTTGACTACTGCTATAAGAGTTGTTCATTTTTATTTTCCAATGCAGATTCCGTGTCCCGGACAAGGACACGCGTGTACTGATATTTTAAAGCAATAAAGAGGATATATTGTTTGGACGTTTAACTGAGGGGAAAATCTCGCAGGCTGAGAGTTTTTCTCACGATTAACATGTTTCTACTGACACTGAGAGCACGACCAAACTCTTTCCATGAATAAAAGACTATGAAAAGATCTGGAAATCTCTGCATGCATTCATATCTGCGTTTCTTTCTCCTCTGCTGAGGAATTTATATTGAGAGGATCTAAAAAGGGATCAGACCCACTCCATTAGTCACAAGTTTGTTTATGAGGAAGATTCGACCACGTTTCACTCATGAGAAAGAATCTAGTGTCAGCTTCTTGTAATATAAGACATCTATGGATGAGACGCTTATCCCCACATCCTTAGAGTCACTTTTCATGTATTATGTGTGTCTGAATGCTGCCTTTGTGCAGCAGTAATGCTGTTAAGACTTTCCCTCGTGAGTCTAGTTTTACATGTTTCTAAAACTGCCTTTTCTCCTGCAGCACATGTTCTCTTTCCTCTCTCTTCTCTCTCAGCCATGATCCATGTATAGATACTGAGATTTGGTAGTAACAATATTTATTCCATCCTATCAGAAGAGGAATCACCTCTGTTTATGGAAGCACCTTGTGGTTGTGTTTGTCAGCGGTACAAACAAACCTGAAGTGAAAAAGCAACACATCATTTTGAGATGCTGCAAAAAAAAATGTGTATGTTGGAGCTCAGGTAATACAGCAAACTTTGGGCTCGTTGCAAATGCAGAATTGATGAAGCTAAAACTATTTTTAAAGGGAGCTATTTGTAAGTTTAGTTATTGCTACATAGCTAACATTAGCATTAGCAGCTGTTTACTCGCCAGTCTAGCAGAAATGTTGCATGTTCAGTATCAAACATGATTCCTTTACACACCAGGAGCTGCCCCCCCCCCCTCTCTTGTTTTGCTTCTATTTCTATCACTTCTTTTCTTGTAGCTACTGAAGTTAGCATGCTAACCAGCTAGCCCCAGCCTGGTCCAACTGTCTTGCTACTTTCCAATACTGCGTCACTTTCGTATCTAATCCGCCATGAACAAGTAGCTGCTCAAACGACGTATTATAACCTCTTGTATTGTAAACACAACAATGTGTAACTCTCTTCAACAGACTGGTTAAGTAAGCAGCTGCTAATGCTAACGTTAGCTTTGTAGCAATAGCAAAACTTACAAATAGCTCCTTTTATGGTTGAGATAAAACTGAATGCAACTAAAGCAACTGAAAACCATGCAGGTTTAGAGCTAAACAAAAACAACAACCTAAAAGCCACTCACCAAGTTCAAAGCACATTTAAATCAAAGTTAAAACACAGTTGTCAAGCAGCTGAAAATTTTGTTTTTGTTGAACTCTAGTGGTGTAACCTCTCACCGTGCTGCTGGGATGTGGAATTTCAGACAGATTTTAGCCTATTATTACCACTTTTTACTGTGACCATTCCTCCTGTTCATACTGGCTATTAAAATATAATTTTCAGTGGAAGTGATGGAGGACAAAATCTGTTCGTATGACTCGACAGTTGTTTTGTAAGATAGACTTAAATAATTGTGTCGCTGTCCTTTAAGTTACTCACACAGGTGTTTTCAGTGGTTTTGTTTACACCTCCGCTCAGGTTGATTACTGAGGTCACCAGACGCCAGCTGCAACACTGACATGGCTATTTGTCCACTTGTGATTTTGTTCTGTATTAGCGATTTGTTGCTTCCCTTAGAGAATAATGAGCGGGCGGTGGCTCTGCCTTGAAGCAGGGTAATCAGGCAGTGAGTGAAAACAGCTGTGTGGTTGTACTGTAAGAATGAAGGGCCTTTAGAACCTGAAAGGTTCACCTAAAATGAGTCTAAATGGACTCAAAATATGTTACAAAGACATTGTGGAAACAGACTTTTTATGCATGTTTCCAATGCATAGCATACTTTTAAAGCCATTTAGATCACATTGAATTTAGCATAGTGTACAAATGTGCTGGAAATCTTCCACATGAAAAAGGTTTAGAGAATCTTGATTGTTGTACAGTGAACAATCTGTATGCTTTAAACATAAATATACAGTATTTATGGTAGAAAATGGAGTAAATTTATCATAAAACTACCATATTGCTGGTCAGTGTTAAACTAAATCTCCTGCCTGTGGCTTTAAGGTAACTGCATTACACTTGACTGTTATATGCTCAGAGTCTGGCTGTGCACAGAGCTGCTTCATGGTCCCCTGGGAGACAGGAGAGGGAGAGTCGGAGCACCTTGTTACCATCCCCACCCGTTCATCCAGACTCCAGTGTAAAAAATGTGAAACAACAGCTGAGCCTAGTCCACAAAGACCAGAGTCCCTCCTCTCAGCCACAGCAGGGGGAAAAAAACGCTTTCAGTTTCCTGCTTCACTCTGTCTCAGTCTGACGCCGTGGCTGAGAGAGAAGAAGAACAGGAGGGAGGGTATGGTACTGTAATTAAATAAAAAAAACACACTGTTCTCTCAATAGAAGTCCTTCCACTGGAGTTAAAGTCTGTTGGTGTTTTTACTCTTCAAAAATGAATCTAAATAGGCTCAAACACACACCAGTGTCCCAGCATGGTTTAAAGATCTATCTTTTCTTTTCGTATTATTTGTTATTAACTCACATAAATGTTGGCTGGAGACTCTTTGTGATACTGACAAATGTTGATAGGCTTCTACCTGTTCTGCTCGACCAATAAAAGACGTTGACGTGTTGTTTTCATGCACCAAAATCAAGCAATAACCCATTAAGTTTTTCACATAGTTACTGTATCTTCTATTTCAAATAACAGTGGGCTTCCACACAACCATCTACTGCAGAGGGCAACAACATGTAGAAAGTCCCAGGTTTCATCCTCAAAGTGACTATTTGGGTTGTTTGACGTAACTGAATGTGGTATTTTCTCTTTCTTTCTTTCTTTCTTTCTTTCTTTGAAAACCTTTCTAAATTCTTCTTCTCTTCTATTCTATTCTAATCTCAAGGCTGATGATTACAAGCAATGCATGGTAATGGTGCAGGGCCCCACATGTCCTACATTTTCTGGCTATCAGATGGTTTAAGGTAATTTAATTAACTGATTTGGGAATATGCAACATTAAATCACAATATCAACTGGCAAGATGAGGTTCTTAACGCTTTGACTTTTAGAGGGAGCCTGTGTCATAATGTAGATATTCCAAAATTAATTTGTGTTTAATCACATTATGACAAGTGACTGGGGGACAAAATAAAAGTTTGCCCCGGGGCTTACAAGAGAGTTATCCTACTTATGACTCTTTTTTCTTTGGGAATTTAGGTTTATCTTCCAGTACATCCACTATATGAGTCAGTGCCAAAGTTTTTGACCTTGGTGTTTGACAAAATAACTCAATGTTCACTTACTATCTTTTCCCTGATATTGGCTGGATTAACCTCCTGGGGGGCCCTGGGGCAAAAAGTTTGTTGTTCGGCCCCTACAATACAGTTTCAGCTTCATTTTGATGATTTCCCCAGACGAAGAGAAACCAACCAGTGATCTAGAACAACATTATTCTTTGATTTATTGATAAGTCAACTGACAGAAAATGACAAAACAAAGCAATTTGAATGTGTTAATTTGTTGGTATATTTTGCTAATTTATCTAATTTTATAAAATTAACAATCAATTGAGTTTTAAGGAAAATAATTGTCAGATGTCTTGATAATGAACATAACTTTTCATACATAACAATTCAGGTCTTAAATTTAGATTTTGACAGAGTCTTTCTTCGGGAACTGCTCTTCTTCAGTGGTGCAACTTCCTGAGAAATGTGCAGTTGATCAAATTATGTAGATGAAAGCAGAGTACAGTAAACCCTAAACTGTAACCAGACCCACAGTTGGTCACGTGGTGAAATCTGAGAAAACTCCATCCACACCAAACAATTAGATGCAGTTGAAAGCTCAAGAAAAAGCTAATAAGTGGACCATGAGTTTGGATGATTTTGTCTGCAACAAAGGTCCCAGAAACCAGGGACACTGCGGCCACACGGTAAACTATGCACATCCGTACCTCAAACCCTCTTTATTTGAAACATGAAAGTGGTTAAAATGAATGAATAAACTGCATAATGTGATGAGTCATCCACTCCAATTAAATTAGTTCAAACTCCGAATGCAGTTTTGTCGCCCCCAAGCGAGGAAGAGCCACCGGTGCACCGCTCTCTGCTCCCTAAAAATCAACCGGCAGATGCCAGATTAAGAAACAAACGCTCCTTCAAGTATTACTGCGATGTGATTGGTCCCCTTGAGAACTCCAGGTAGAGCCACCGCTCACTGGGATTGGCCAGAAAATAGGGAGCCTTGCGGTAGAATCAGCAATTGGCGGATGAATCACAGAGCTTGAATTTGATTGGCCAGAGGTCTCGTAAGGGGCGGGACGTCATGCTCGACTGCCGAGCTGAAACCGGTAACCGAGCACTCCAGCACGTTGTGAAGCCGCTAGTATCTCTGGCAGCCGCCGAGGTGATTCAAAGAAATCACTTGTTTCTAAATCAACGACTTATTTTTTTGATAATTGACCCACTGGTAAGTTGTTGTCTAAGATAAACTGTCACCAATTTAGCGTGGAAAGTTTTAATTTGTTACCGATCGCATTCGTTTGATTAACTGGGTCGCTCTCTGGGGGCTCCGTCTACATCCTGGTGTAGAGACGTGAGCGCTGTTAGCAACCTTTGGCATTAGCACGATTATTATGCCTTATTGTTTGAATTTAAACATTATTTCTGATAGTTATGTATTTTAAATTAGCCACAGGCGGTGTAGTAGTTGTTACTATGTTGAAGTGTCAGGATAAAACCACCGCCATCACTGTCTTGTTTCACTTTTGGTTTCCAGGAAATATCCGCTACCCCTGTGTAGCCCACTTTTAGCTCATTCAGTCGTGACTCCCTCCCTTCCTGTCTTTCTCTACCGCCTTTCTCGCCAATTTTAGTCATAATTGACCCCTTTGAAACATTTTACATGTCTGCTTTATTGTTTCATCTTCATTTTGAACTAGCTAACGGGTTTATTTAGCCCGACGGGATCGGGAAAGTGTGGCCGGGGACTGGCCGGGACACGTGTTGGGGCTGCTTCTGAAACCGAGCTATTGCCTGTGTCTGCCCTAGTTTGGGGGCCGTGTGCTCGCCCAGCTGTCGCGGTTTAGCTCCGCAGTGGGCCAGCCAGGGTGCCATTTGAGCCCAGGTTATATCTGGAAACCGTCGGTGGACTGCACTTAAGTCCCACCGACGGGCAGAGCCGCCATGACTGGTGATGAGTGCGTGTAGGCCGGTGGATAGCATGGATGGCACCGTCACTGCGGGCACGGCGTGGCCTTTGTCCGCATGCCATGCTCTCCACTTTTACACAAGCTGCTGTCGGATACGGCTGTTGCAGCGTAGCATGTCCTTATATGCGTTTATTCTCCAAATAAACTTGGACTCATCCAAGCCAAAGCCCCCCTGAAGTCCGCTGGAAGCGTTGGATCTGTCCCAGCACACATTGGGCTGCTTCTCCTCAGAGTGATTGGCTTAGACCTGATGGATCAGTTAATGTTTGCTGCCTGTGTGTTGGTTGCTAAGAGTATGCCAGAACAACAGATGGCTCTAGGTTGTGCGGACAGGTGTGGCAGACAGTCCATTAGCGAAAGCACTCGTTCCCCTGGTTGTTGCTGAATGACCACACCGGTGTGTTTGCATGTTTTAGCTTCTTTACCACTAATCACCTGGAAGGAAATGCTCACTAGAGCACTAAATCTGCGACTGGGAGTAGTCACCATCAAATGCACTGTACTCCTGCAGCTGTAGTGCGTTAGTGTAAAGAATCAGGAGCCTTTTTTTTAAATATGAAACAGTGTAGTTGTGCTCCATTTTCTTTTTTAAGATTTCTTCAGTGGGAAGCCACAGATAGGATGCGTTGTTAATAGTGACAGATGTATATAATATCACCTCCTTTACCCTTTTTAAGCTTTACAAATTAATATTTATTGTCTTCCAGACAGACATCGGTTTCAATTCATGCAAGGTTATTATTAAAATCACCTGGCAAACTTGTTGGAAATAGACGACAAGCGTGTAGGCAGTGTGTGCAAATATGAATATAGATGACAACTTGCATTTAATGCCAACGTAACTGCTGTGTCGCATTTACTAAACAGAAATGTACAGGAAATGGTGAAGATTGTGAGTCTGTCGAAGCATGCTTCATTGCTCAAAGTGAGAATCACTGTAAACCATTCTTCCTGGTATGTTATCTAAGCATTCATTTGAGCTATACGCACACGGTGGTGCGTTCAGTGCAGGGATCAGGCAACAGGGTTTAGTGCAAGAAACGACAAGTCACTTTCTTCTCTTGATGTCCAAATTTGCATGTTATTTAAAGCCAGTGTTCTGGCGTGTGAACGTAGCACATATTTGATGGGCAGAGTTTGCATAAGTCATTTCCTGCAGCCGTAATGGATCTTTAACAAGAGTTAACTGTAGACTTGATGCATTATTATAGATTACCACAGCTTGTCGTTCATAGCAGATTGGAATATTATACTGTTTCGGAATAGATACTGGATAACGCCTGGAAAGAAACATTAAGACGTTTTTTCATCCCGATGCATCCCAGTATTCATTAGCCACTTCACGTTTTACCAGCTACATCAATGACATTAACCACTAATGGAAATCCACCAAAGCAGGATGTCGTAATAGTTGGTTTCCAGCTGAGGAGGGTGGTAATGTGGATAGAAGTGCTACCTACAGCCAGAATTCACCAGTTTGAGGATCACCTGGAGTTGATGGGACAATGTCTTGCATGTTTCAGTAGATGCCTGAAGGTCAAATAATACAACTCTACAAAAAGCCACTGGTCAGTACTTTTTGTTTATGTCCTCCTCCGCAGAAAAAGATTGTGTGAGATTTCTAGATGTAAAGAGAAGAAAGGAGTGACATTTGAGTGCAGTGACTGTGCAATTTCACTTTTTCTTTTTTAATCAGTCGCTTTGAAAACAAACGGCAAATGTCTGGGTTTGTTTTCCGTGCCCTGGGCGGGCTGTTTTCATGTCGGTGCACCCAGATGTGGCAGTAAACGCTCCTCAGAATCAAGTCAGTTTTGCAGATCAAACACACTTCGCGCCGCCGGCATTTCAACACGGTCCAGAAAAACAAATTACAAAATGAGCCGTGATGAGAGTCAGATATTGTATTCTGTTGTGAAATTGGAGGTCATGTTTACCTAACCTGATTTACACACCGTGCTGTTCATGGGACGGGGTCTGAATGGATGATCCATCACAGGGATGTCAATTCTCAGAAGTGAAGAAGCAAAATGATGCATGTGTGATATTTGGGGGCAAGGTCTCCTCAAAGTCGCACACACAACAACAAAGACACAACAAGGCAGCAGCTATCCGGCTCCGTGGTGACAACTGTTGTCATAGCGTCGTATAATCACCGGTAGTTTTCCCCCCGTGGGACTTTCAAGTATTGCACCCACTGTATGAATTTAGTAATGTGGTTCAATTCCCGTTTCTTTATTTTGAAGAACTAATTCATTTTTAGAGGATGGAACTATGGCTGCATATGATAAGTACATATGAATATTGAACAACACATACATATATACCATACCACACCCAAAGAGACACCGATGCAAAACAGAAATGCGACAAACACTCGTTTTGTTGTGTCTGTTTGAAAATAACTGAAAATAACTGAAAAGATAAAGTGATTATCAGAACTGTGTCTGATTAAGTTTTCTACTGAAATGACTAATTGATGGAGTTCCTCTTGTTCTTTGCAGAGATTTCCAGTTGACCAAAGAAATGGTGATGGAGAAGCCAAGTGCCCAGCTGGTCGGGCGAGAGTTTGTCCGACAGTATTACACACTCCTGAACCAGGCCCCTGACTACCTGCACAGGTACGACCATCACCTGTCCCGACTGTCATGTGATGAAACATTGAATTATTGCCTTTGGTGCAGTATTTTGGGCGTTGCGTAGTAATAATGTGCATGTGTGAGAACCCGTCCTCTGTGGAACAAATTAACCTTTAGTCTCTGTGCTCAGGTTTTATGGAAAGAACTCCTCCTACGTGCACGGCGGCCTGGACAGCAACGGCAAACCAGTAGAGGCCGTCTATGGACAATCTGTAAGTAGGCTTGATAACAGCTTTTAAAAATGTTATTTCCGTAGAGAGGCTCTGCACTTCACTCCTACGCACTAACACAGAGTGGAAAAAAAAAAACTACTGGGCTGAAATAAAAGTTTTCTCAAGCTGTTTTGTCCATAAAGGATATTTCTTAACAGGTCGCCCGTCTCTTGTTCTCTCTGTTGGACAGTTTGTCTCTTTATGAGACATTTGCCTTAATATTAATTTCATTTTGTTTTTTTTATATATTCTGTTCTTAAGCTGCTGATTTTCTTTTTTTAGTATGCGTTGTACTTTTTCCGTTTGAATTAGTTTTCTTAAAATTTTACTCATTCTCCTTCAATCTGTGCAGCTCAGGTGTAAAACCTGAACCTAACGAGGAGTAAGACTGAACTGATGATGAGGAAACGCCTAAATGCAAACATTATGTATGCAGTGCGGGTGTTGCCATAGTGTATTGTTCATGATCACAGTAATAAGTTTGAATGTGATTATTATAGATACAGCCTCGGCTGTGTCAGCTGCATAAATGACTGCGCTCTGCCTCAGTCTGCTGCCTCTAAAACGGCCACTTACAGAGGTTTATTGTGTAGTGCACTATAAAAGACGAACAAAAAAATCCCCTTCAATATAATTGTACTCATTTAAGTCAATATTGATTGACCCTAGTGTGCAGTTTATGTTCTGCTAGCTGTGCAGGATGCAGTTTAGACTCAGCTGATGCTTGAATTTCAGTTTTTCCTTTGAGGTTTTATGAGGTTCATAAAAAAAAATCAAATTTCCAATCTTGAGCAGGAAGGATTCTTGAGTAGAAATCATTTGATACTGTAATAAGTTAAATCAGATCGATGGGTAAAGACATGTAGTGCTCTTCAAACAAAAGCTTTTGTCTTTGGAACATGTTAATGGATGTCGAGGTTAACTCTTCCCGGAAGCACGTGAGGATGAAAACCTCCAGGCTCTGCTCTGGTTGATTATGTTCATTCGACCTCCTCCTCTCTTCTGCAGGAGATCCATAAGAGGGTGATGGCTCTGAGTTTCCGGGACTGTCACACCAAGATCAGACACGTGGACGCCCACGCCACCCTGAACGAGGGCGTGGTGGTGCAGGTGATGGGCGAGCTGTCCAACAACATGCAGCCCATGAGGAAGTTCATGCAGACCTTTGTGCTAGCACCTGAGGTTCGTCTTCTTCTTCCTCTGTCCATCAGCACACTGTCAGGATCAGATTTGATTGTAGAAGAAATTATAATATATAATATTCTTTTAATTCCAGGGTACCGTTGCAAACAAATTCTACGTCCATAACGACGTGTTCCGTTACCAAGACGAGGTGTTCGGTGACTCTGATTCTGAGCCTCCAGAAGGTGAGATGACATCCATCTTTTATTTATTTTTTTTTAACTGTGATCTGTTTTTTTTCTACTTGCTGCCTTTTCATCTCCTATAGACACGATCTTTCTGATCTTGCTATTATTTGGCCGAAGCTAAATGATTTTACAGAGACGAGTTTCTCATTCAGTCTATTGCACGACTTGTTTCAGCACTTTGATGCTTTCTCTTTGAACCGCTGTGTCTTTTATTTATGGTGGTTGAAGCTGCTGCGGGGGTTAAAGACCCTGATGACGTTTGATGTCTGTATAAACAAAGCAATAAATCGAACAACAGAAAAATTGAGTTCCAAGATTAAAGCACAAGCTCTTTTAGGAAAACTGAAACCACCCAGTCATTCTATTATATCCAGTTTATTAACCATAACTTCAGATTTCTCTTTCGTAGAGTAATATTTGTATAAATTTGAATAATATAGATGTTCGTTTGAGATTTAAAGTCACGATTAAAAGATGGTGGCAGTGGAAGGTGGAAGGTGGATGTGGCGTTCACTGTCCTCAACATGTTTGTGTTTGTGTGTCGTCAGAGTCCGAGGACGAGGTGGAGGAGATCGAGGAGAGGGTCCCCTCCCCTGACGTCGCTGCTGAGGAGTCTGCTCCCTTCTACGACCCGACACCCTGGTATGGAAACGCACACTCAAAAATGAACGTGTAAAATTTCCATTCATGGTCACAGTTCTCGCTCCCTGGTGACCAAAGACGAAATGAAAAGTGTGACAAAACTTTGACTTTAGCTGCTTGAAGGGTTTTCTGGGTTAGTTCCAGTGTTTGTTGTATTAAAAGATTAAAAACCCTGTGACATGTCAGTTTACCTAAAGCATTTTGACTTCATCAGATGAGCGTTTTTCCTTGAGGCAAGATTCCCACTGTAAGGCAAGAGAAACAGGCTTTGTTTGAACTTGATGTTTGTAATGCTCTTTATTGTAGAGCACTTAAAGTTGCATATGAATGTTATTTATACTACACTTTACCATAAGTACACGTGTTTATAACTGTCTTCTACTCGTCCCTTGTAGTTCAGAGCCGGCGGTTCCCGGCGACGACGAGGAGGCGGGCGCAGCGAGTCCTGAGCCAGAGCCAGAGGTCGAGAAAGAGGCCGAGGCTGCAGTCGTGGAGCTGAAGTCGGAGACGCTGCTGGAGACACAAACAGACTCACACACAGCTGACGACCAGACAGAGAAAAGCCCTGCCGCCGCCCCACCGACTACAGAACCCACCTCTGTGACCGCCGAACCCGCCCCCGCCGCCCCAGAAGAAAACAGGGTACGTCTGAACCTGAATGCAACCTCAGTGTGAGAGATCTGGATCTTGTTAGCAGAGTCATTCACATAATTAGTTTTCACTGATGGAGCATGTTTACACAACACAGGTAAATCAGGTTAAACTGGGGAAACCTGTGTAATGTTGCCTTCACTGTACATTATCTTTGATTATCCATCAGCCCTGATTAAATCGTGTCTGCTTGTCTTCTCTGCAGCCGTTCTCCTGGGCATCAGTCACCAGTAAGAACCTTCCTCCCAGTGGGGCTGTCCCAGTCTCAGGAATCCCCCCACATGTCGTCAAAGTCACCCCCACAGCACCGGTGCGTTTAAGATCCTCATCTCAAAACCTGGTTACTCTAGTTTCTATTGACCCTAGGCTTCACTTTATGCCTTATATAGTAATGAGCTTGTAATGACATTGATGAGTTCCTGAATTCTTGTCATAGTTGTGCTTTAAAGTGGGGCATCAGGATATTATTTTAAAACTGTATCAGAAAATTAATGAAATGAATTAATTGAACAAATACATAATATATTAACGACCATATCCGCTCAAATATATAGAGAGACTGATTATTTTCCAACATTTGTTTGAGAAAAACAAACAGGACAGGAAACACTTGTTCACTCGTGGGGAAGTTCCCCTGAGACATGATCCGAGGAGAGTCCTCGCTACTGAGGCCTTTTCTCTCATAAGTGAAACAAACATACAAAAACATATACATAAGCAAAAGTGTTTTCAGACTCATCAGCTGTGACAGCTGAGATTCTCGGCTGTCGGACAGATGGGTTCATGGTAAAGACTTCTGGAGACGCTGTGAACTTGTTTTGTTTTTTTTTTCTGTGGCAGCAAAACACGTTAAACCAGCCTTCAGAAACTCCTGCAGGTTAATCAAACACTCTCAGGGCTGACTGCCTCTGAAAGACTTAAACACCCACTAACCTCGCAACATGAAGGCTACAGGAGAAGATGCTAAAACTCTCTGTTCAAGAAGAATACCCGATCTGAACCTCCTCAAACATAAAGCCCCTTTTCCACTGGTCAGAAAACTCGCTAACATCAGGCTTCTGTTGGCAATGGAAAAGGGAACAATCTGCATTCACACCCGGGTCAAATGACTCTGCAGTAGTAGTGGGTATTTATCAGCTCTGGCTCCAATCATCATTGATATAAACACAGTATCTAGGATGAAAGAGTGAAGCTGCAGCCCCCAAATAAGTTTTAAAAACACATAATCACAGATCGAAGCCTCTGTCACCGAGGCTCCGAGACCGACAGGAGCTCCAACCCGGAGACGAGACGCTTCGGGTTCGATTTACCAGCTAGCAGCTCACATTCTCTCCCCTGTGTGTGTGTGTAAAATAAATAAATAAACTCATAGGTGTGAAAAGGGTTTAAGACGACCTCCACCTAAAAAATACCACCTTCTACTCGGGCCAATTCGCCTCCATTAACAAATCCTTTGAAGAAAACCTGACTCATAGTTTTGTCCTGTTGTTTTGAGGCACCAGCGAGATCTCATTTAGTAACATTCATCTCCTCTGAGGGGGAGGGTAATGCATCCTGTGCTGCTGTGTTGTACCCTCCAGAAAGCAGAACTGGAAACTTGATTTGTTTGCCTGAGTCGAGATGAACGGCCCCTGCTGGCTCTACCTTTATGACAATAATGAAACTTGCTGTTCTTTCTTTATTTGCCCAAAGTTATGTGATAAATCCCAACGGGGGCAAACATTTTTTTTTTTTTTCCTTCATCCTTGCTCTGTCTTTGTTTCTCTTTCCTTATAAAAGTGTGTTTGACTCTTTCAGCCCAGAGCGGAGGTGAAGCCAGAGTCCCAGACAACAACACAGAGACCACAGAGAGACCAGAGACCGAGGGAACAGCGGCCCGGAGGTGCTCCGCCGGTACACAGAGGACCCAGACCAGGTACAGACATACACACTCATACAAACCTGGTATATACGGTGGTTAAGTGGCCTCGACCCAAGTGTAACAGGTGCTCACTTTGACAGGTAAACAAGTGCGAGACTGATACTACAGTTTAAACATCATCAAATCTGATGTGTACTGTTGAATTTGGCACAGAGTGTGTGTGTGTGTGTGTGTGTGTGTGTGTGTGTGTGTGTTCACTGTGACTGCAGGTGTGTTAGCACATGAAAACTTCTGTAACTAAGGCCTGAAATGCACCACATGACATTTCTGACCAGTGGCAGGTGACGGTGTTCAAAGGTTTGGAACAAAGCTGCTCAGAAATGTCCGTCCTGAACACATTGTCCTCAGTCCAAGACCAGCTGCAGCACTTCACACACAACTGGTCCCACGAGATCACATCAAAGTAAACCTGGGAGCAAGCGCCAAACATTTGAAGTAGCTCTGTATTGTAAAATTTAAAGTGTTTTATTGAAGAGTATCTGTCCTGACACATGAACCTGCACCGTCGAGCCTGAAATCCACAAACGAGACCACAGATCCAGATCACACTGAGACAGTCCCACCACCCTCTGACCCACACATCCAGCATGTCTGTACATGTAATAGCTCATATAGCATCTAATAGCTCATCTGTTGACCTGGTGAATTGTTTGTGTTTCAGTGCGAGAGGGCGAGCAGGGCGAGTCGGAGGGTCGCAGGGTGGTCAGGTACCCTGACGCCCACCAGCTCTTTGTGGGCAACGTCCCTCACGACGTGGACAAGACTGAACTGAAGGAGTTCTTTGAACGTAAGCATTGATATGTATAGTGACACATGGCGGCAGAGTCACAGGTTCATTGTGTGAACTTTTAGACAACCACAGTGTTAAATATCACAATCTGTCACAGCAGAAAGTGGTTTATAAACTGTGACTGATGGCAGACGGCTCACTTTACTCAAAGCGAATGTGTTAATGGCTGATAATAAATCTGTATTTCACACTTTAATCCAGCACATTTCCAAACTGTTTGTAGAGTCGCTCGTTGTGTTTATAAAACATTTCAGGAATATTGTGAGTGAAGCTCAAAACAAGTGAAAGTAAGAATATATTACAAAAATCTAAAGTTAGAGTATGTTGATGTGTAAATCTTCCAAACCCAAACTGTTGTTTTTACCACGGTGGTAAATAAAATTTGCCTCCTCCTTCCTCACAGAGTATGGTACAGTCCTGGAGCTGAGGATCAACAGCGGAGGGAAGCTTCCAAACTTTGGCTTTGTGGTGTTTGATGACTCTGAACCCGTACAGAAGATCCTCAGCAACAGGGTGAGTTTTTATTTCCTTTGATGCAGCGCCGATTATTTGCTAAGAGGGTTTTTTTTTTTTGCTGGTTTAAAATACCCTTAGCTCCTGAGTGTCGTAGCCCCCACGAGGTAATTATTGTTACCATGTTCCTCTCGTGGTGTTTTATGGGGTTTGCATATTGAGCTTGCTCAGTTAAAACCTGAAGTTTGAGTTGTAACTGTACAGTCGGGATCATTTTATGTTTCATAGAATAAAAGAAACTCGAGTTAAGTTGTGCCTGTTTCTCGTCTCTTCAGCCCATCAAGTTCAGAGGCGACGTCCGTCTGAACGTGGAGGAGAAGAAGACTCGGTCGGCCAGGGAGGGCGACAGGCGGGACGTGAGGCCCCGCGGCCCTGGAGGTCCCGGCGGTCCTAGAGAGCGAATAGGAGGCGGCGGAGGACCCCGTGGCCCTCCCACCCGAGGAGGCATGGCACAGAAACCCAGCTTCGGCTCTGGACGGGGCGCCGGTCCCAGCGATGGGCGCTACTCTGCCCAGCGCCAGTGAGACGCCTGGGCTCCAAACCTGAGTTAGATTACTGTTTGCATTCAATTTACTTGAGTGGTTATTGATTTTTACCGCAGCAGGAACCAATTGGACAAACCCAAAACGTAACAAAAACCCTTCACTGCATCGCACCTAGGAGCAAAAAATCAGTAGGAACTGTTGATTTCTAGTCAAAGTTAAGGGCAACTACACTCGCACGCCCTCGTTTGACTCGGTTCCTCCTCATTCTTTCTCCTAAATGTGACATCATCAGTATTTCGAAGGGATTTCTGTTGGTAACTGACGCAGGTTTGATCGAGAGCTTTCACCATCAAGTCATGCCAGCTCCTGCTGAACTCAGGAGCCAGTCTCAACATCTGTCTCTCATGAAGATGGCTGCCTCCTCCTCCTCCTCCTCCCCTTATCCCCCTCCCACCTCCCACCTGATTCTTCTTCTTTCTCACCTGCTGCTTTTCGTTTCCCTCTGAGGAACCCAGAATGTCACTCCTTTCTCCCTCAGTCTCTTCCTCTTCGTCTCCTCTACCAACACATGTATTATCTGGACTTTTGTCATTTTTTTTTTTGTTTTTTCATGCTGAACTTGAATTTATTAAAAAACAAATCAAAACACGCAAACACATGAAAAAAAAAAAAGGGTAAATAATACTTGAATTGGGGATTAAAAAACCCAGAGGTTAGGTTTTTTCGCGTTCTCTCTCCCTGTTTCTTAAAGGAACGTGTACTTTACTGCTTGGGCAATCCTGTGTATTGCTGCCACCGTTGTATCTAGCGATGGATCTGTCTTATCTTTTTATTCTATCAGGTCAAGAGCTGAACTGTAGTGCTTTTATTTGAGTAATAATGTTGGCTTGTAATACGTGGAATCATGGACGCGTCTGAATGGAGCATGTATCAAATCATGTATCAAATCCTGTTAGGCTTCTTCTACCGATGCACTTCATTTGTCATCATGTTTAAAATGAGCTCACCTGCCGATGAGAGAACTAAATTAAAAGTGATTTACTGTTTTAAACCTTTAGTCTGTTTGATTTTGATGCTTTTTGTGTGTGTGTGTTTTGACTCTGGCTGTCAGGAGATCAAGGCTGGGCTTTTTTTGATACTGGCCAAAATGTGCCCACAGTATTAAACTGCCAAGTAATGAAATCTGGCTTAGACTGCCTCGTTCTCTTAAAACCCACCTGGAGATTTTGTAATGTTAAATTTGCACCTTGCTTTAACATACACTGTGGAAAGACCCTGTTCCAATGAAGATGAATAAATCCTGGAAACCAGTCTTCTGTTAGTATAACTTTTACATAACCCTAACCCCCATATATCAGTGACTATATTGATTACTCATTAATTTCTCTCCTGTAGTTTGAATATTGTCAGAGATGTCTGAAGAAATCATCTTTCCCTAAATTATAAGTTTGAGTTTTTTTTAAAGGTGTCTAACGCTTGATTGGAGGATATTACACAGTATGAAGTGATACCTGGATTTATCCAATGTATAAATCTGAATTCTTTATACCAGATGTTTATTTACCTTCTACTTCTTGATTGTAATGCACCACAACACCAAGACAAACAACTTGTACATGCAACTGACCTGGAAATAAATCTAATGTGTGTTTCTTTTATTATAATACTATGATTAAGTTTATACACGTCATCATAATCAGATTACAAAGTGTTTCACAAGGAAAAAATAACAAAAACATGGAGACAAATTACTGAAGATAAAAAATGAAAATAGAAACCAAGTAAGCAAGGTAAAGATATTTGAAATATTTAAAACAGATTTTTCTAAGCTATGTGAAAGAACTTTTTAGAAGCCATTTAAAAAAAGATAAGTCTAAGTTCTTCAGGCAGTCCTGTTAGAAAAAGCTCTGTCCCTTTTGTTCTAGTGTTGACTCTTCTCTCTGTAATCGAAGTCTTGCAGTGCTGATATTTGAACACTAGATGGGGACATGATGTCACTGTGCCTCAGCCCCCCCCACCCCCCCCGCTCACCCCCACGCCCAGTGAGACACACAGGTACATGCTCTTGGAACATGATTGTCATATGACACTAGATTATGTTAGTGAGCATGATTTTGTGGCTCCACCATGTCAACCTCTGCACCAGCGGGCTGCCTCCCAGCTCTGGCTGTAATTGTTAGATAAGAGGTCTCCGTGTTAATTCTGGTCTGGGACCTCTGGATGTCACTTATCCAAGGGTGTAGTTTGGGCTCAACATTGGTAGGGAAGCAACAACCCCTATGAGTATTTTGTATGTTACAAATTTGTATTTTCATGTACTCAGAGGATAAGTCATAGTATAGTACGCCTTACTATACTATGACTTTTTTATGACTTACTGTATAAGGACTTTTTATGCCTTACTATACTATTAAATTTTTATGCCTTACTATAGTATGACTTTTTATGCATTATTATACAATGACGTTTTTATGCCTTACTATACCATGATATTTTTATGCCTTACTATACTATGAATTTTAATCCGTTACTATACAATGACATTTTTATGCCTTACTATACTATGACTTTTTATGCCTTACTATAAAATTAAATTTTTAGTCTCACCATACTATGACTTTTTTATGCGTTACTATACTATGACTTTTTATGCCTTACGATACTATGAGATTTTATGCCTTATTATACAATGACATTTTTATACATAGTATGGTAAGATATAAAAAGTCATAGTAAAGTAAGGCATAAAAAGTCATTATATAGTAAGTGATAAAAAGTCATAGTATAGTGAGGCATAAAAAGTCATTGTATAGTAAGGCTAAAAAAAGTCATACTATAGTAAGGAATAAAAAGTCATAGTATAGTTAGGCATAAAAAGTCATTATATAGTAAGGAATAAAAAGTCATAGTTAGGCATAAAATGTCATAGTATAGTAAGGCATAAAAAGTCATAGTATAGTAAGGCATAAAAATGTCATTGTATAGTAAGGTATAAAAAGTCATAGTATAGTAAGGCATAAAAATTCATAGTATAGTAAGGTATAAAAATTCATAGTATAGTAAGGTATAAAAAGTCATGGTATAGTAAGGCATAAAAAGTCACAATATAGTAAGACTATAAAAGTCACAGTATGGTAAGGCATAAAAAGTCATAGTATAATAAGGCATAAAAATGTCATAGTATAGTAAGGTATAAAAATTCATAGTATAGTAAGGTATAAAAAGTCTCAGTATAGTAAGGCATAAAAAGTCATTGTATAGTAAGGTATCAAAAGTCATAGTATAGTATGGCATAAAAAGTCATAGTATTGTAAGGCATAAAAAGTCAGTATAGTAAGGCATAAAAAGGCATTATATAATAAGGTATAAAAAGTCATTGTATAGTAAGGTATCAAAAGTCATAGTATAGTATGGCATAAAAAGTCATAGTATTGTAAGGCATAAAAAGTCAGTATAGTAAGGCATAAAAAGGCATTATATAATAAGGTATAAAAAGTCATTGTATAGTAAGGTATCAAAAGTCATAGTATAGTATGGCATAAAAAGTCATAGTATTGTAAGGCATAAAAAGTCAGTATAGTAAGGCATAAAAAGGCATTATATAATAAGGTATAAAAAGTCATTGTATAGTAAGGTATCAAAAGTCATAGTATAGTATGGCATAAAAAGTCATAGTATTGTAAGGCATAAAAAGTCAGTATAGTAAGGCATAAAAAGGCATTATATAATAAGGTATAAAAAGTCATTGTATAGTAAGGTATCAAAAGTCATAGTATAGTATGGCATAAAAAGTCATAGTATTGTAAGGCATAAAAAGTCAGTATAGTAAGGCATAAAAAGGCATTATATAATAAGGTATAAAAAGTCATTGTATAGTAAGGTATCAAAAGTCATAGTATAGTATGGCATAAAAAGTCATAGTATTGTAAGGCATAAAAAGTCAGTATAGTAAGGCATAAAAAGGCATTATATAATAAGGTATAAAAAGTCATTGTATAGTAAGGTATCAAAAGTCATAGTATAGTATGGCATAAAAAGTCATAGTATTGTAAGGCATAAAAAGTCAGTATAGTAAGGCATAAAAAGGCATTATATAATAAGGTATAAAAAGTCATTGTATAGTAAGGTATCAAAAGTCATAGTATAGTATGGCATAAAAAGTCATAGTATTGTAAGGCATAAAAAGTCAGTATAGTAAGGCATAAAAAGGCATTATATAATAAGGTATAAAAAGTCATTGTATAGTAAGGTATCAAAAGTCATAGTATAGTATGGCATAAAAAGTCATAGTATTGTAAGGCATAAAAAGTCAGTATAGTAAGGCATAAAAAGGCATTATATAATAAGGTATAAAAAGTCATTGTATAGTAAGGTATCAAAAGTCATAGTATAGTATGGCATAAAAAGTCATAGTATTGTAAGGCATAAAAAGTCAGTATAGTAAGGCATAAAAAGGCATTATATAATAAGGTATAAAAAGTCATTGTATAGTAAGGTATCAAAAGTCATAGTATAGTATGGCATAAAAAGTCATAGTATTGTAAGGCATAAAAAGTCAGTATAGTAAGGCATAAAAAGGCATTATATAATAAGGTATAAAAAGTCATTGTATAGTAAGGTATCAAAAGTCATAGTATAGTATGGCATAAAAAGTCATAGTATTGTAAGGCATAAAAAGTCAGTATAGTAAGGCATAAAAAGGCATTATATAATAAGGTATAAAAAGTCATTGTATAGTAAGGTATCAAAAGTCATAGTATAGTATGGCATAAAAAGTCATAGTATTGTAAGGCATAAAAAGTCAGTATAGTAAGGCATAAAAAGGCATTATATAATAAGGTATAAAAAGTCATTGTATAGTAAGGTATCAAAAGTCATAGTATAGTATGGCATAAAAAGTCATAGTATTGTAAGGCATAAAAAGTCAGTATAGTAAGGCATAAAAAGGCATTATATAATAAGGTATAAAAAGTCATTGTATAGTAAGGTATCAAAAGTCATAGTATAGTATGGCATAAAAAGTCATAGTATAGTAAGGCATAAAAAGTCATTGTATAGTAAGGTGAAAAAAGTCATAGTATCGTAAGGCATAAAAATGTCATTATATAATAAGGTATAAAAAGTCATAGTATGGTACGACTAAAATAGTCACAATATAGTAATGCATAAAAAGTCATAGTATAGTAAGACTAAAAATGTCATAGTATAGTATGGTATAAAAAGTCATAGTATGGTAAGACTAAAATAGTCACAATATAGTAATGCATAAAAAGTCATAGTATAGTAAGACTAAAAATGTCATAGTATAGTATGGTATAAAAAGTCATAGTATGGTAAGACTAAAATAGTCACAATATAGTAATGCATAAAAAGTCATAGTATAGTAAGACTAAAAATGTCATAGTATAGTATGGTATAAAAAGTCATAGTATGGTAAGACTAAAATAGTCACAATATAGTAATGCATAAAAAGTCATAGTATAGTAAGACTAAAAATGTCATAGTATAGTATGGTATAAAAAGTCATAGTATGGTAAGACTAAAATAGTCACAATATAGTAATGCATAAAAAGTCATAGTATAGTAAGACTAAAAATGTCATAGTATAGTATGGTATAAAAAGTCATAGTATGGTAAGACTAAAATAGTCACAATATAGTAATGCATAAAAAGTCATAGTATAGTAAGACTAAAAATGTCATAGTATAGTATGGTATAAAAAGTCATAGTATGGTAAGACTAAAATAGTCACAATATAGTAATGCATAAAAAGTCATAGTATAGTAAGACTAAAAATGTCATAGTATAGTATGGTATAAAAAGTCATAGTATGGTAAGACTAAAATAGTCACAATATAGTAATGCATAAAAAGTCATAGTATAGTAAGACTAAAAATGTCATAGTATAGTATGGTATAAAAAGTCATAGTATGGTAAGACTAAAATAGTCACAATATAGTAATGCATAAAAAGTCATAGTATAGTAAGACTAAAAATGTCATAGTATAGTATGGTATAAAAAGTCATAGTATGGTAAGACTAAAATAGTCACAATATAGTAATGCATAAAAAGTCATAGTATAGTAAGACTAAAAATGTCATAGTATAGTATGGTATAAAAAGTCATAGTATGGTAAGACTAAAATAGTCACAATATAGTAATGCATAAAAAGTCATAGTATAGTAAGACTAAAAATGTCATAGTATAGTATGGTATAAAAAGTCATAGTATGGTAAGACTAAAATAGTCACAATATAGTAATGCATAAAAAGTCATAGTATAGTAAGACTAAAAATGTCATAGTATAGTATGGTATAAAAAGTCATAGTATGGTAAGACTAAAATAGTCACAATATAGTAATGCATAAAAAGTCATAGTATAGTAAGACTAAAAATGTCATAGTATAGTATGGTATAAAAAGTCATAGTATGGTAAGACTAAAATAGTCACAATATAGTAATGCATAAAAAGTCATAGTATAGTAAGACTAAAAATGTCATAGTATAGTATGGTATAAAAAGTCATAGTATGGTAAGACTAAAATAGTCACAATATAGTAATGCATAAAAAGTCATAGTATAGTAAGACTAAAAATGTCATAGTATAGTATGGTATAAAAAGTCATAGTATGGTAAGACTAAAATAGTCACAATATA